TATATATATATATATATATATATATATATATATATATATATATATATATATATATATATATATATATATAATTGAGCTTGCTGGATATATTATAATCTTCTTGATACGAGCGATTGAACTGGCCTTTAACATTGAATCGATTAGTTTAAATTGAAGAATCGATAAGTTCTTACCCCGTAAATTTTATTTGTAAACTGGAGATAAAATTATGATTCTACTTCACATCCAAGATTCAGATTCTTCTCTATATATAAAATAAAATCTGAAATGTCATGGAGCTTCAATACAAAGCAATCAATATTTAATATTAAATTAAGAGTTTGAATAAATTTTTTATATTAAAAAAGATCATTCTTTTATTGCACTTAGCTAGCAACCTAAACTATCCCAAACTTTCACCGGTTGACTCTTTAGACTCATCGAGGAGTTCCTCATTTTGAAAACAATAACAATATGATCGATTAGATGAATCTTTTATTATCATCAAACTTTGAGCTGTGTATAAATTATCATCTCAAATTAAATTAACCAAAAATATATATGATTTTTAATAAGATCTTCTTACATCTCTTTTTATGTTTCTCACACCATTAATACAAATTGTCCCACTGCCTCACAATAACGCCATAAGATCACCACTAACACTAATTTATATTGACATCCCTTAAACACAAAACATGATTATTAGAATATTAAACATCATTAAATGTTTATAGTTCTATATACTTTTTAAAGTCAAACTAGCTAATGCTAATCACAGTCAAAACATGATATAATGTATTTGGTATCACCAACGAAAAATTGAAAGGGTAAATATATCCAAACATGACATGGAGAGACATGTAGACAACCCTCCTAAAACACACCAACTCTCACATTCCAAATATACATTCCATCAAATACCTTATTCTTTACCTAAACTGATGCCAAATGCAACCCTCTCAACCACAATCAAATCAAATCAAAGCCATCCATCGCTCTCATACACAGCCTTCATCCCCATCCCTCTCACTCGTGTGTTGTGAAGATCTACATGCAACATGACCCAAGTGTCCCATGAACCAAAATTACTAGAAAACAAGCTAAGAGTTGCATTTAAATCTGCATTTGTAATCACACAATATTGGAAAATTTTCTCACAATTTAATTTATCACAATCACTTTCAATCCCTTATTCATGAAAACCCTATCTGTCAGCCTATCATGATTCTACCTTGATCATATATATAAAATATCAAATCATATATTGATTTGATCGGACTCCTATAGCACATCTCTTACATACTCTCTCATTTCTTCAGCCTTTCCTTGTACCTGAAATGTTATCAGATATGAACACGCTTAGGCAGCCATCCAATGACAAAGTGCCTGGTGCTTCGGTTGACTTTAAGCTAGGGGGCAGTCCAGAATCCTAAAAGGTCAAGGCCAGAAAAAAAAGGATTGTGCAATTCTGCGTGTCAAGTTAAAAGATCCAGTACATGTTATCTAAGCCTGAACTCATTAAAAGTTATGGCAACAGCAATCAGCAATAACAACAAGTCATGATGTCCCAACTACATCTTACATGTTATAACAGCAGCAATCAGCGATAATAACAAGTCATGATGTCCCAACTACTTAGGGTGGATTATAGCTTACATGTTATGATGAGCATAATCTAATATTGGTTACTTAGGATCTTTAAAATGCTTGCAAAAGATAGTGAGAAGAAAAACCTAGCAATTGCAAGGCTAGAACTGTGGTCTTAAAAAATTTGAGACACTCCATTTTGTTCCTTTATGGAAAATTTTTGGCAGGAGTACACCATCAAATGATTCTTAAAACTCATTACCTAATTAGTAAATATGCATGTTAAGATCAGTGTGTAATATAGAACATCTAGACTGTTCCAGGAACCTACCTGCAGAAAGAGGCTTTCCACTTAACCAATTTAAAAGGTCTACATTGGTCCATCAAGGCATTTTGACAATTAAGGATACCAGCAAAACTTGCTACGCAAGCGTCATAACTATCATTATACTAATTTTGCATGCACTTGATTCCATCAATTGATTATTAAATATTAAATGAAGTAATGCAATTAAATTCATAAGGACAATTAGCTTTATTACAAGTGAACAATAAACTGCATAACCTGGAAAGTTCATGTTAAATATAAAGCAAGTCCTAAGCCTTTAGTTGGGGCTTCCACAATATTTCAGAAAAAAAAGTTCCAACCAAAGTACAAGAGAAGTTGCTAAATTAAAGAAGATGGAGGTGCTGATACAATTACATTTTCTTGAGAAATAAAAAATGTTTTTGCAATATATCTTCAACTGTTGAAACCATGTTAATTAGCTTGTTCAAAATAATAAATTCCAGAATGTTCCAGGAGTTGTGCAAGTATTTTGATTCACTAAAACATTACATATTCTCCAAATCATGGTTACAATGGTATATATGTGAAGTCAGTAGTTCATTAACTTCATTAGTGTAGCTGGTGTGCTTCTAAATTCATTGATGTTTGGATAGCTCTATGCTGACAACTTGTTCAAACAAAATATCTTCTACAGAGTTAATGGATAATTATGATCGGCATTGCAGGCATCCAAGAAACCAAGTGTTGGCATTTCATGGCAAAGCAGCATGCTGATACTTAGTGTGCCAAAAGCCAAAAATTGGGCTGACCATGTATCAACACTGCTAGCGTGCCTTGGCAAAACATGTGGCTATACCTTTCTAGCATGGCAATCATTGTAGGAAATAATCTTCAATAATAAATGTTTTGATTCTGTTCATTCATCTGCTTACATCAAGTCTGTTATGACATTCTTATATACTATTTCTGCTTGTGATCATTAGTATGTCCACTAAGCATCGAGAGCATAGAAACAAACTGCATAAGTTGAATATGGAGAAGATAACTCTTGTTTGACCACAACTTGACGATGTATGAACCATTACCTTGAAGAAACCAAGGTATGTCCCAATAAAGCTAACTTCTGCACTCATGAAACATCTCCTTGATGAACGATTACCCATTCTAACTATAATAGGAGAGAACTTGCTTATTGAGGAATAGCTGATTATGGTGTTTTGTATCTCCTCAATCCAAAGCACTAAAGACACATCCTCTCTATCAGCCGCGATTCCAAGAGGCCAAGGGGGTGAATGTTTGAGCCTGTGTCTACACAACCTATATATAGATCCTTATCAGAGATTAGTTTGTTTCTTTCTCTCTTGTATTTGGAGGGTTTTTGAATCAGATGATTGTTTTTTGACTGATCCTTGCACCTTAACCCATGCACTTGAACTGCATAAATTTTGTGTGCTGTGTAATTGTTTTGTTCTCATCACTCTGTCCTTATTCTGGATTTTGTTCCCTACTTAGGTCCCTCTGCTACAACATAACCAGCAGCTGTTTTGCAACAATGATCAAAATCTCACAGCAGTACAGTTTTCTAGAAGCAGTATATAAACGCATCAAATTAATTCATGTTCTGATTTCTGGAAGCAGCTACAAAACCACTATATTAGATCTAATTACTAATGCATACTTGTTAAATAAGAGAACTGCCTCTGGAAATAGCACACACGATAAATCATCAAAATGACAACATCTTTGTGAGAAAGGCATTCATAGAAGTATGAAGTAAACAAACAACAGAGGGTTGACCTGTAGCAGAGCAATGGAGGCAGGCAGGATTAGCATTGCAGTTCCAAATGGCAGATCAACTAATCCAAGATAACTTATATCTGGTGACTACCTATCATATCATGGCCATCTCTGTGATCTACTTCTGGCGGTAGGCAATGTAATTGGCCAAATGCAGCAAAGGTGCCGTCTTTATTGGATCAAACCCTGAGAGCTGTTCCTTGGAATCCTTCAGCAGACCCTCGGCAAACTCCCTCGACTTCTCTAATCCTAAAAGCTTTGGGTATGTCGTCTTATCACTGGCCAGATCCTTCCCGGCCGTCTTTCCCAGCTCCTCTGAAGATTTAGTCACATCAAGTATATCATCTACTACCTGGAACAGCAGCCCGATGCACCGAGCGTATTTCCTTAGCCGCTCAATCTGGTCATCCGACGCACCACCTAAGATGGCGCCGAGGACCACTGACGCCTCCAAAAGAACAGCCGTCTTGTGGAGGTGGATGAACTCGAGCGTATCGAGGCTGACAGGGGTTCCGAGCCCGGTGGCCTCGAGGTCGGCTACCTGGCCTGCGACGAGGCCCTCGGCTCCCACGCAGCGAGAGAGTTCACCAACAGCACGGACAACCCGGTCAGGCGGCACGAATCCGTCGGCAGGATAGGACGCCGGGTCCGCTAGGCGGCCAAAGGCGAGGGCAAGAAGGGCATCGCCAGCAAGGACCGCAGTGGGCTCGTCGAAGGCGCGATGGCAGGAGGGGCGGCCGCGGCGGAGGTCGTCGTCGTCCATGCAGGGGAGGTCGTCGTGGATGAGGGACATGGTGTGGATCATCTCGACGGCCACGGCGGCAGGCATCGCGCAGGCGTCCCAGCCGCCGGCTACCTCGCAGGCGGCGAGGCAGAGGACGGGGCGGATGCGCTTGCCGCCGCCGAGGAGGGAGTAGCGCATCGCCTCGTGGATCCGCTCTGGGCGAGCGAGCGGCACCGCCTCGTCGAGGGCGCGATTGACGATGGCCGCCTTCTGGAGCATGTAGCCTTTGAAGTCGAAGGTCGGGGCCACGGCCGGCTCGGCGGCGGAGACGTCGACCTCCGTGGCATGGGGTGGAACCGGGCCGCGGCAGCGGGCGGCGAAGGAGATGGCGAATGCCCTCCTGGAGGTGACCGGCGGCGGTGGAGGCCGAGAGGGGCGGAAGGCGGGGGAGGGGCGGGAGGAGAGGTGGGCCCTGGTGCCCACCGTGGTAAAGCAGATGTAAGGGGTGAGCGAAGCCATGTGTGTATTCTTCTCCTTGTGTAAGGTAATTGTGAATCGAAGCAAGGAGAGTAGCGAAAAGGCAAATAAAATACAAAGAGGAAGAGGAAAAGGGGATGGTGGCGGAGGTTATAGTGGAAGGAGGAAGTGCTACGAGTAGGAAGTAGATGGGAAGAGACGGCACATCATGCGAACAAATAGTGGAAGGGGCAGACAGGTGGTGTGAGATGTGGAAGAAGCGGAAGAAAGTGAAGACATGTAGACAAGCACCGAATTCAATGGCAGAGGGAAGATAGGATGGAGGAGATAAGACGAGAGGCTAAGAATCTGATGGGACTATGGAATCCTGTGAAGACAAAGATACCACACGAATTTGGACAATAGGGGATCGGTTGGTGATGCCAGACCAGGGCCATGGTCGGCTCCCGGTACGCTTCATGATGCGTGCGGAGATCGTGGCAATAACTTGTGAGTGCATTGTGACGCCAAATGGCGCACACCTCACGTCTTTTTGTTGAAATTTGCCAGGGATATGACTGGCTGCCGGATTCTCCATGAAATCATACTGTACGAGGAAAGGATAGCATGTCAAATTTGAGATATTAGTCACATTGAAAGAATGATGGTAACAAGTAACCGCATCGGACGGTGCGGACGTATCGAGGAAGATGAGGAAGGAATAAATGATAACAAAGAGGAAATCAAGTGCGAATTCTCCGCCTCCATTCCAAAGATTTAAGCCTGAAGGGCTTTCCTGTCTTCGGAGACTAAAAATACAAATAAGTTTGGCACGCACCCTTGTCCGATGCCAAAAATAAAAAAAATCGTTTGCCAAATCATATTATTGATATAGGGAATCTACTATTATTATTTGATACATGATTATCAAATCAGATCTAAGGTATTCACGAGAAACACAAGCCTCCTTTTCATAAAAAGATAATCATAAACTTTTTTCTCATCAGATCATTCGTTATGGACATGTAAGAACTGACTGTCATCAAATTGAAGGAAAATTACACTTCAACTTATATGAGATCCAAATGCTTACTGAAACATGATAATATCCAAAATGGAACTTCACTCTCTATGAATCAATCTTAGTTATTTCACCACCAATTAAGGATGCCAGTAGGAATAGTTTTTACTCAAACTATCTCCATTCTGCCACTCAAAAACCTGCCCTATCCATTTGCCATCTTAGGGTCAGAGTAACAAAACAAAATATGACCATCGACCCATACAAAAATGATAGAATTGATAGCCTTGCCCCAAGGTGAATTGACCATGGGAGTCCATATAATATCACCAGAACATGCAATAGTTATATTTATAAGATAATAGGGGGACTTCTATGAAATTGTTGAGGATGATTTTCTTTTCAGAGGAAGGTGAGTGGGGATGAAACGACATGGACCTTGGGTTAGCGATAAGCGACACCATCTAATTTCTAATTCTCGATTCATTTTTAAAAATTACATCTCGACCCTTACCCCATTTTCTCAATCAAATTTGGTAAAAACTAGTAATGCACCATTATTCCATGTCAAAATTTGCTATCCCTACCATAAACAGAGGCAATGATAATCATTACATTCATTACAGCTTGGATTATGTTCAAAGACAAGTTCTTGAATATTAGCCTAATAGTTTTTTGTTTCAAATGTTGAATTCCTTTTTTGTTCGATCATGAAATGGGCCATAGGTCTTCTTTTCATCTTGGTTTTTTGTTTGCTCAAGATATCACACATCTGAACATCTTACAATGTGTTCCCATGGTTTTTTGTTAAATCATTTATTTGTTTCATCCTAAAAATCTATGATATTCTTTGACATGCATAAAATTTACTCTACTTGTCTTGATTGGAAACGATGCAACTTAGGACCTAAAATATATTTTCCTATTTTATGTTAATCATTTATTTGTTTCATCCTAAAAACGTATGAAATTCTTTTATATCCATAAATTCTACTCTACTTGTTTTGATTAATCACGATGCAACTTGAACAAAAGCTATTAGAGGATCTAAATGAATACTTTCAAGAACAGGGTTATAAGCAGCTTTCCAATGCAAATCTTATTAATAATAACAAACAGACAAAATAAAATCACAAAAGAAGGATGTACATGCATGTGTTTTGAATAATCATCAACTCAAAATCAGCTTCCTAAAGGCATATAATTCACATGCACCAAATCAGCAGTGTATCTTACACCTTAGCCAATGGTTTAGAATCTCGATCTGAATGTCCAGCTACATAATTACTCCCCATTTTGTCATCATCAAGATGGAATTGCAACTATTTTACCTTGCTGAACTACAATTGACAAACAAAATACCAGTTCTCAAATCCAAGCCAGAACCCAATTTGCAACAGAACTATATAACTGCAAATTATCCGCAAATGTTCACACGAAAACTCTTGTTCCCTATGGCAGCCGTCCCTAGTCTCAAATTACTGTGTCTAGCTATCTAAAAACTTGATACTACATTGCAGGCAGAGCCACAATGCGCTAATTCAAGAGTATATAATGCCAAAATAAGCGGATAATAGGCCTAAATATGGAGTTGCATAAAGGGAAGACAGAGATGAGCGGAAGAACAAGAAGGGGCGCTGCAGTACTCACACAAATCAATCGTTCTGCGACCTTGGAAAGGAGAAAAGATCCGAGGAGAGGGAAGATAGTACTGATCGGATATCTGGTAGATGGAAGAGCCGCCACTCTACCCTTGCCTTCGACACGGAATGCGCCCTGGAAGAAGCCGCGCTTTCATACTGATCCCTTCATCGGGAGTTATAAAACCTGAACCGGACTGGCCGATTAGACCGGAAGAACCGGGAAACGAACTTTGATCGGTTTGATTTGATTTACTGATTAAATTATTTATTTATTTTTAGTTCAAAAATACCGTTAATATTTTATTTATCATCAAAGATGATTATTTTTTATAAATATTTAAGTCTTTTAAAGAGAGAAAAAACATATTATGTTTGTTGATCTCTCACGCTCTCTATCATTCTATTTTATTATATAATAGAAATTAGTTTATAATAGTTATTCATGTATTTTATATATTTATAATATTATATATCATTATATTTTATATCATTGAATAAAATTATTAATTTTGTGGCCCGATCAATTAATTCATCGATTCATCTAACGATCAAGTGATTTGTGATCACACCGGATCAATATCCAATCTAATTTTGATGCTAATTTTTTTTGCGGTTATCCTTGTAAGAATTATTCTCACGATCTCAAAGATGCTAATGTATAGTAAGAAATTTTATTATTTTAAAGAAAAATAATTTTATTTTACGTAGCCATAGGTTTTATAGAACTGGTAAAATAAAATATTTTATCATTCAAATGGTAGGGCATGTTAGATGGGTTTGCGAGAGGAATTAGAAAGTTAGCTAAATTACATTATTCTTGATCTACAGCCAACTAGCTTAAGTTTTGGTTTATATGGGTATCTATCTCCATTGAATTTATTCACTCAAAATCTATAATTAGATTTATGTCTTAATATTATTGCTGAAGGTTGTCCTTGGATGATAATGACACAAGTGATCATCTTAAGCTAAGGTGAGAAATATTAAATATGAGTACAATGATATTTATAGTCTAATCAAAGACATCCGAGTGGTCTATATTTATTATATGTAAATACATTTCTGACCTTTTAGCTAAGATCAAGTGTGTGTTTAATACTGTATTCAAATTTGAGATCTATCACTTGTGCACTAATAAATTTGTATATTTCAGCAAAAATGTCTCAACAATGGTTCTAATATATCATTGAGATACATTATCTTCCAATTCATTTTGATAATTATATCACTGGAAAGCAAGGTATACAATATCGTACCGTACCGGTGTTTCGAGGTTGGCTCGATACGGTACGATACCGTGTACCGAGCTGTATGCCAGGGCGTACCGAGCAGTATACCTAATTTAGGTGTAAAACCCTCCGAAATACCTGAAAATTAAAAAAAAGTTAGGATAGGGTTTTGAAGTTAGAAATAAATATAGTAATAGTATAAGTTTAGCAAAATCAATTAAATTAGATAAGAATAGTATCACATATCTTTTTCGAAGAATATATTGTGCAAGGTTCGTATTTCAGTCCATTACGGATTGTCCTTATATAAACATATCTTGATTAAAAAGCTCTTCCTTTTAATCTTCCCAAATTAGCCTCGATTCAATTCATTGAAATAGAGGAGAAAAAGGGTTTAAATACTATGAAAAAGGGTTCCACTATTACCGAGCGATTTTAAATATTTTTTCTCTTACTGTAGCACTATAGCACTACTGCAGTATAGCACTGTAGCACGTTCCGTCCGGTAATAGGCGATCTGCGTACCGATATGCTGTCTGATCGGTACGTACCGCCTGTACCGGGCGGTACCATTCAAATTGTATACCATGCTGGAAAGTCATTTCAACCATCCCTTCACAACAAATTTAATGAAATTTAAGATACGATAATTCACTGATGAAAAGGACTCTACAAGTACATGGAGTGGCAAAGACCAACCTGAACTTCCATTATTGTCATCTTCACGCAAAGAAAGATGACAAAATCATCAGTAGCAGACATATTACTGATGTATGTATATATATCAATACAAAAAAAAACAAAAAAATTAAAGACAACATTCCATGTGGATATCAGTGTGGAGTTGGACTTGGAGAGTGTTGCTGCACGGAACCTTCAGCTGCTGGAGATGGCGAAGGATTCACCTCTGCATCTGTTAGCTTCTTCACTTTGAAGGTGCGATTTGGAGATTTAGGAGAACTGAGGCTTCCAAATGCAGATATGGTGTCGGCGGACAATGATAGCATGGTGTTTGATCTCGGTGTTGCAGAACAAGAAATACCCGGTGTTGAAGTTTCATAAGCAGAACGGGATGGTGATGAAAGAGTTTTGATTTGGTGGATGGGGTAGACCTCGGTGACTTCCTCAATGCCCTCATCCAAGTAGACAACATCCTGCATTGTGAGCTGATGGTACTCCACAATCTCCCTCAGGAACAGATTCTCACGCTCGTAAACAGAGTTGTCATGCACCAATCTCGCCTTCTCGGCCAATAACGTCTCCAATTGGTGGCGTATCTGTGAAGAATATAGATCTGTTCATGTCTTGTCAAATGGTTTGAAGTTTTAGATGAAAATGTTCAAATCTTATCTAATATCATTAATCAATTTAAGTTCCACATGTTGAGTTGACACTACCACTAGCATGTGGATCATATCTGATTTATTGGCTTCAGCTTTAGATGTAATGACTGAAGTAGGAGAAAAATAAGTTCAAGAAATTAGAACCAAAATATTACTAGTAAGGGACTACATTAAACATGTTATAGGCCACACGATCTACGTTCTCTACTTCCAATACAAGGACATGGCTCCGCTTCACATTACTGCTGTCCATGAAGTGGAATCTAAAGTCAATGATTCAATGAAATGAATTAACAATTTGCATGCATACATGGAAAACAAAAGTGCCAAGATGTCATGCACTAGGCTTTTACCCAGTTTAAGTGG